GGGGTCTCGCCGGCACACAGCCGTCTCAGAGAGCTCACGAGCAGGTCGGGGAGCGGGTCCGGCACAAGGAACAAGAGCTGTAGGTCAGGGCTGCGTGGCCTTGGGCAAGCGCCAGCATGGGGACATGTGGGGACATCCTGACTCCCCAGAGCACTCAAGAAAAGGTAGCCGCCCGAACGAAGAGCAGTCCCCACACTCAGTGCTGAGTCCTAACAACGGAAGGTTAGATCGACAGCAGCTGAGTCTCAACTACTTGAAAAAATCTGGACAATACTTCTGACAAAGCAACTTGGAAGATAATTTTCCCAACAAATCTACAGGCCCTCTGGCAGGGTGCAGAAGCTTACCCTGTGGAAGGGAGCGGTGGTGCTATGCCCAGCGCGGCCTGAGGACCAGTGAGCGTCAGGGACGGTGTGTCACCAGGTCATAATGAGACAAACAGAAGGCAAGCATCTTTAGAAAGTTCTAGAGCAACTTGAAATAGTAATTTTTAGGCTTGTTGGAGTTCATAAAAACAATGTGGCTCATATTTCACATATGTTTAAAAAATTTTTCTTTAAAAAAAAACACAAACTTTTTTCTACTAATTGCCCTTTGTTTTACAAGGGGATCACGTCTACAGTGGTTTAGGAAAAAACCCAGAAACTGACCCTTCCTCACTGACAGGCTGCCTCTTGCCCCGACTCTACATCCTGGGAGAACGCGTGGGTCCAGCCAAAGCTGAGGCCTTGTTGCCTAGCTGCTAAAAATAAGCCTCTAATGGGAGCTCTTCCACCAGCAAAAAGGAATTATGGATTATTTGCAACAACCAGCAAATCTAATAGAAGCGATGCTTCCTTGCAGAACCCCCGAAAGCGGCTCACTTTCTCACTGAGTCTGTTACATTAGTTTTCGGTCCGGAGTGGCTGGAGGGCACTCCGGGACGGCCTGTGGGAACTCTGCAGGATGCGGGATAGGATCTAGGAGTCAGAGTCTCAGCAGAGCAGCTTGCACAGGCGCTATGGAGAACAAGCTGGGAGACAGAGAAAGGCCCTCAGAGAAAGTACCGTGAATTCCCTACTTGCCCACCTGTATACGAGCTACACATCTTAATCCTCGACCCAGCCCCGGGAGAAAACTATTACCTGTGCTTTACAGAGATTGTAACTATGTTATAGATTAACAGATTAATAAATGAAAGCAGAGAGATTAAACAATTTTTAAGGGTCATTAATAACTAGGATTTTTAATTCTCATTTTGCTGACTCTGGAGTCTGGATTCTTTTTAGTAACACTTTCTTGAAAACGAGAGTCCAAGCCAGGAATGATCACTCTGAGTGCCAACACATAGTGTGCTCACCGTTTTCCTGCCACCTCCCATGTCCCTGGCCCCTGGCTCCCCCCAGCCTGCCATGGCCTAAGGCGTCCTGTGTTGTCTGTCCCTCTCAGTGCACCGCGGTGGTCTTTCTGTGCTCAGGCATCCTTGGGCCTGTGTGCTAGGCGTGCTGGCTTCCTGCAATGTCTTCCCCAGATGTCCCTGGACTGACCCTTGCTGGGTCCTCTAGCTACTCAGCCCTCCCCAAAGGCTGCATGTGCTGGGCCTCCCCTCCTGTGCCCAGTCCTCTCTGTCACAGTCGGGGCTCTGCCTGGTACTCCCGCTCGGAGGAGGCCCCCGTCTCAACTACGCACTTGCCCTCAGACCTACCACCTACAAGGCCTACCTTGTGAACACCCGAATCAAAGACAGGGTAGGGATTATTCAACCGCCCTGTGACCCCCGGTACTGATTTGATCTTGAAGCCACAACAATAGGTAAGTCATTCTCACTTATGGAGAGCAATACTAAATTCTAATGGGAAACAGTGACACACGCCACGACCTTAAAAGAATGACCAATTATGCCTTAAGTAGGGAACTGACTCTGGAATGAGGGGCTGGCCCAAACCCAAGCAAAATGTCCCACATTATTCATCATGTCAATGTCCTCATGAGTTTTTCTTAAAAAACAAACAAAAAACCCCCACCAAAACCCCTAAAATACGTAACAGAAAAAGTATTACAGGCAACATCTTTAAAAATAAAAGCAGGCGAGGACCTATTCAGTATGAAAGTCTGCGTCAGTTATGCCTCAAAATTGGGCGAAAAGCACCAGAAAATCCGAGGAAATCTGAGTTCATGTGCTGGATACTGGAAAACAGAAGAGCAGGGTCTAGAAATCACCCGCATATGTGCAGAGAGCACACGACCGCCATGCTCAGTGAAGGCGACAGCACTAGAGCCCGGGCAGGCATCCGGCAGGGAAGTGAGACACGCGCTTAAAAAACACGGTGAGCAGTAAAGGAGGCCGGGACAAACCCTGGGGAAGGTCCTGAGCTCCGGAGACATGCCCACTGGGGACGCCACAGTGCCCAGGCCGTCCCGCAGGCGAGGTGCGACGCGCACCAGAGCCCCGGGGGCCCCTCCATGCAGCCTCGTGAGCGGACTTCGAACACCATCTGCGGGCCTGGAAACGTCCTGTGCATGGGACATGGGGTCCCCGGACTCACACATTTACCGAGGACACCGAACTGTACCCGATCCAGGCCTGTTTGTGCACTGCACGGAAACCATGTCCACGATAAGAGAAAGCCCCCCAGCGAGCCATCCGGGTCCCGAAACCACTCAGAAGACGGGGTTGGCACTGAGTTCATGAGCTGCGTCCCACTGCTACGGTCCGTTAGTGGGGGTGGGGATTTCTGAGAACAGCCTCCCGACCCATGTCATTACTCAGGCTCATCCTCTGCTGGTGGCCCTCCCTGGACTTGTCTACCCTGCACATTCCAGTGGCTCCTTCAGCCTTGGCTCCACCTATCTGGCCGCTGGCACCGCCCTTGACCCCTTGCTGCATGCAGTACCCCAGCAGACGAGCAGTGCGGGCCGGCCCGCCGCGGCTTGGAGACAGCGCTCGGGTCACACGTAGCCGGTCGTACACAAGGCGACGGTATTCAGATAGCTCAGCTCCGGTCTAGAGAATCGGTAAATACGGACTTTTGAAATCCCACGTCAGTGCAGGCAACAGGCCGTCTGGACGGATGTCTGAGAGGAGCCAGGGGCCAGGCGTTCGGGCGGCCCAGAGCGGCTCCGGGCCGACCAGTCAGACTCCTGCGGGGACAAGCACCCCCGTCCGCAGCTTGCCCTGCGTTGCCGTCAGCTTCGATTTCAATCACCGAGGTTCTCGAGAGTTTGAAACTTCTGTTCGAAAGGCAATCCCTCAGAGTGGCTGTCCACATTTCATACCCTGCTGTGGGGAGGATGCGGGAGTACCCCCGCACGATGCTGCCTCACACCTCGAGGGCACGGACAGTGCAGCAGCCAGGACGGACCCCGCGCAGGTCTCCTGGCTCTGTCGGCTGCTCCCGGCTCTCACACGCTAGCTGGGCGACGGCGGGAATCTTCTCTGTCATAAAATGCGGGTGATACACGGACTGGGCACATTCCTTTTTATCCTCATCTCCAAAATTTACAAAGCACCGACGATCAAAAATTTAATGTAGTTTAGTTTAATTTTCATTTGATCTTGCATTTGAAGCAAGTGACTCTCATGGCAGAACCCGGCCGAGCTGAGGGGAAGTCTGTATTTACACCCGTGCATACGAGCGCTCGTGCTTTGCTGCATGAACACTGCTACTCTTACCTCTGGGACGCTCTGGAACATGACCTCGCCTGTGGCATGCGCACCACACTACACCGGTTTTCTAAAGTAAAAATAATATTGAATTCTGAAGCAAAAAACCTTCAAGAATTTCAGGTATTGGATTCCCGACCCCTCTCTTCCTTGTGGGGTGGCTGTGCGGACAGGCTGACTTCACTTATGAAAAATACGTCGGACGGTGACCGGCACCATGGCAGACGTCAGCTAGGATCCGAGGCGTTCGGATGTGAGCAGGTGTGTGCCAAGGACACATGCGCTAGTCCTGCCTGGCAGTCACCGAGCGTGGGGCGCCGGTGCCATCTGCGGGCCTCCTGGCATGCTGCACGCTCCCGTGTGCGGAGCCCAGAGGCTTGTGTGCTGAGCCCAGCACACTCTGCAGAGGCCACTGGCCTCCCCGACAGTGAAAACAGGCTTCCCCAAGCCTGCGTGTTTAATTCTCCACAGTTTTAAAAAAATGAGAGCCACACACAAAGCATGAAATCAGGGTTGCACGTTGATGAACGGTGTGGGTCGAAACCACTGCGGCCTAACGCCGTTCACTGCTGCTTTCAGTGTGTCCGTGCCTGGAAGGCTGAGCAATCTGAGAACTGTCCCCCACCTCGGTCCAGTCCCTCAGCACACAGCTGGACACAGACGCGTCTTCGAGGAAGTTTACTGAACCGAAGCATAAGTGAGCAGCTGTGGACGACCCAAGGAAAGGGAATAATGATTCCTGAATTTGTGGCAACGGTGGGCGTCCCGGCTCTGTCCCGTCATCCTTCTTAGGCCACTCCAGGAAGACTGATCTAGCCGTGCGGGCTGACGGGGGCGTGCGCTCTGAGGCTGAGGGCGCAGAAGTGCTTGGCAGGGGGCCAGGAGTCCAAAGGGCCCTCGTGTCAAGCGACACACAGAGACCGCTCTGCCTCACCACTTCCTCTGCTGCAGGAGACTTCAGAGCGGGCATGGACGTGGGCCGCCAGATACGCGTCGGGGAGGCGCCTGTCGGGCCACAGGACGGGGAATGCCGTGAAGGAGGGCCTGGTGCCCGGACGCCTGGTTACACGCGCTGTGGGAATGAGATGCGAGCGGACACCTCCGGGGGAGCTGCTTCTGCGACAGCCACAGAGATGTCACACCTCCGAGCCTGTGATGCGGCTACTCAAATCTCAGAAATCTGGCCAGAAAAAAATCCCAGAAAAGCCAATAACCTAGGATCACACGTGTTTGGGACCGGATGGAAAAGGCTGTCTCCTGTTCTGAAAAAGACCAGCTTTGCCCATCATCTGTAGTATGTAGATGCTGGCAGAGCGCCCCAAGCGGAAGACACCCCAATTACTAGAAACACCATTACCAGAAACCTCTCCTCTTTTTCCAGCCAGCGCTGGTCTTCCTCCATCTCCTGCTGCTGCCGGACCAGCCGCTCCTCCATCAGGTGGGCCGGCAGCACCTGCCCCATCCCGCGCAGGTCCGGTACCGCCGAGTCCTGGTGGGGGGATCAAGAGCGCATCACTCTCAGGCTACCTCAGATGCCCTTACTGTTTCCTGTGCTTTCCCAAAAACAAACAAACAAACAAACAACTGAAAGCAAAACAGCAAGGGTGGTGGAAACAGGGTCTCTCAGACTCTGCTCAGGGGAGCGATTTGCCCAAAGGCGGCGAGACAGCCGCGGCCGAGCACCTCGAACAAGTACGAGTCCCTCGGCTCACAGCTCCGCTCACGGGATTTATTCTCGAGAAATAATCCAGGACCCCTGGGTGGCTCGGTTGGCTAAGCAGCTGGCTGTGGACTGGGCTGTGGTCTCGGGGTCCTGGGATCCAGACCTGCATCAGGCCCCCGCTTGTATGCATGCGTTCTCTCTCTCTCTCAAAAGAATGGATACAAATCTTTCAAAAGAAAGAAAGAAAGAAAGGATCCAAGGTCTGTGCGGAGAAGGCACCGCTGGCTGCCGTGAAGAACTGAACACAGTCTGGGCCGGAATGGAAGGAAGATTAAGCTCAGCCCACACGTGCCATGGAGCAAGTGTCAGATGTGCTCACTCCAAGGTCAAGGGCATGGGTGGCAGACTACAGGTGCTCCGGGAGTCAAAGAAACAACATTAACGGCTACGGGAGGGGCTCTCGGTGTACCAGGCAAATCTGGTAGGGGTGAAAATGGCCCCCAGAGCAGGAGGCTGTCCCCCTCTCCTTCCCGAGAATTGCTGCACGCACACGCTAACAATGTTCGGCCCCGCACACTGCCTTGCAGGCGAGTGGGCTAATGATGGTGGCGTCTCTGTTTCAGTAAAAAGGATTCACAGAACCGGGAACAATTCGAGATGCAGCGCCTTGATTTTAGAATTCGGTCGTCAAAACGAGTAACTCCTAGGATTCAGAAATAAAAAATACTATAGGCAAAGCTTCATCAGCTAACAACAGAAGCCCAAAAACATGCAGGTTACCTCCACGCTGGGCTGCCACATTGATATCTCCTGCGCTCTGTGATTCCAGGAATCCGTCTGGTCCAAGAGAGATGCCTGGCCCGGGTAGATGCTGCCAGCCATGGCCGTGACCCCATGGGAACCAGGATAGCCAGAGACCTGTGAATGTTGGGCAGCACAGTCATGCACAAGGGAGTGACTCAGATGACAGAGAACACCGCACCAACAGGACAGTGGTGCCCACAGATCTCCACATGTGGATCCCTGGAGCCTGTGGCTATGGAGGCTTACACGGCAGAGGGACTTCCCATGGGCGGTTGTAAATTAGGTGCCTAGAGATGGGGAGATGACCCTGGCTCATCGGTGTGGACCTAATGTGTGGCTTCCTTACGCGCGCAAGGGGGAGAAGGGGAGATAGGCTACTGCAGTGTGGCTGGAGGGATAGGGACTGCTGGTTTTGAAGGGGGAAGAGTCATGGCCAAGGGATGCAGGGGGCCTCTGGAAGGTGGTAAAGGCAAGGAAATGGATTCTCAACGAAAGAAAGGTAATCCATGGAGGCCGTGTAATTAAGTAGTGCAAATATACACTAGGAAGTCAGAAATCATTTACTTTGAAACTCTGCACCCTGGATGCCACAGCACCAGGGGACACGAACGCAGCTCAGTGGGAGCTGCTCTAGAGCACCCCCGTCTAATGAACTCGGGCTGGCGAGAGACGCAGGCGGCGTGCTCCAACCGTGATAACCGCGGCGGAGAAAAGACGCTCACAAGGTGCACAGGAAGAAAAATTCCAAGGCAGAAGGAAAATGAAAGGAGTTCCGTATGTGGCTTCCTCCTTCAATCACGAGGGTCGGGGGCAGAATCAGCAGTTTCCGTAACTCACTGGGCTAGTGCTGGGGAGCCAGGGTGTTTGGTTAATTCTTTAACAAGATAAAGCACAGCCAGATCCAGTATTTCCAAACACCAACACATTCTTCAACAAAGACTTTGTGCACTTATCCGGTCTCTAGGCATTGTTTATACCAAAACTGCACACTGACAATATATAATTAATAAACTTTCAAATAAGATGTATAGATGGTTCTCACAGTTTACTAGAATCAAAGTATTTCAATAAAAATTCTACTGAACATAAAATGTCGTATCACTATTGTTTTTGGTCAGAAGGGCTACACTACCGCCAGAAAACTTTTAGGAACTTGCGCAACAGAGACCGTTCAAGTATCCTGCGGCAGCTTTCTATGGAACACCAACCCTGTGAAAGGATCGATGAGCATTTTTGGCTAAGAAGGAGCACGAAACAGCACCAGGCGATGTCCTGTAGTCATTCTCGGTTACCAGATACGGAAACTTGGGACCAGGGAGAGCGGAATCATTCCTCTGCCTGCTGAACATATGGGTGCTTTCATGCAGCCACTGAACCCTCACTCTGTTCTACACACTGTTCCGGGCACTTGAAGTAGTGACAAGCCACTGTCCTCACGGGCTTCTGCTCTGGAGAGGCGGGGCCAACAGCCACACACCGTTACGCATCAGAGCGCAGGTGGTGGAAGGGGCAAGGGCCAGTGAGCCCCGGGTCAGAGCCGAGGGCCGGTGGAGGCCTGCCTTCTGCCTCCTCAGCGGATGCTGTCGTGCTTTCTCTAAACACGTCTGGGGGCCCAGTGATTCACGCCTCCCCCGGGCAAGTGGGGCTCAGAGCAGTGTCTCCCGAAACAGGGCTCTCAGTCACGCAGGCCACCTTGGGGTGCTTGTTCACAGTGGGACGCCCCTGGGCCCCCCTTCAGAACGGGTACAGTGGGATCTGGAGGCAGCGGAGCAGGTGAAGGGCCTGCCACAGACCTGATTTCAGTGTCTGGAGGTACTACCACCTCTCTAGAGCGGAATGGCCCGCACGCTCTCCCCAGGACCCTACACCGCGAGGCGCTTGTCCACACTGATCTAAGAGGCCTGGATTTAAATCATAGCAGGAAGCACGTAAAGGAATAAAAATGCTTTCATGTGACCCGCAGCGACCCCGTGAAGGAGGCACGGTAAGCGTGCTTCTCTTTTTGCTCCTTTTTTCTCCTCCTGTAGAAGGAGACGGCAGTTAAAGGAACGTTCAGCTCCTCCCTCTCAGGACCAGGGCCCAAGGACTCCCCGTTGCTTGTTTTGTGTCTCACTCACTCAGTTAAGTGCTTCCCCCTCAAGGCTGGTTATGGTAACCGAGTCAGCCAGCGACGAGCATCAGCCCGGGACACAAATGCATGGCTTCACGAGAGCCACAGCCGACACAAATCACAAGAAGCGATTTATTTCCTGGAAGTGATCCATTCTCCAAATAACACAACTATGGGGACACAATCCGTGGCATACACACACATGCACTGGACCACTCCTCAGCATTACAAAGTTGTGACTTGCTGACACCCTCGTCAGGATGTCACCACAGATGTCACACCTGTACCAGCCGCTGAGCACACGAGAGGACACCCTGACGATCCACTTATCTCCGAGTCCAGAACACGCAACACCAACCGCTGGGACCAGTCGGAGTGCGGCTGTGCTGGGAAGCAGGCAACTGACGGGAGGGGAGGGGACCCTCCAGGGCCACAGACAAGCTCTGTCTTGGTGTGGTGTGGGGGACGCGTGTGTACATGGCTGTCAGAACACGTGTGCATTTCCTCTAAGTGAATTATACCTCCAAAAAGCAAACACTCCCCCTCAAAGCCAAAACATTACTGACTTTGCTTCTGATCCTCCCTTCTCGAGGACGGTCATGTCTAGTCTGACAAGATATCTGCCTGCAAGTCTGGCGCCATCCACACCTGGCCAATATAGCATCTTGTCTGGTTTTTCAGGTAAATTTGAATGTTATTCTTGCCTTCCAGAAACACCATCCCGTTCATTACTGGCTCTTCACCCCACATGTCTCCCAAACGGAGGACAGAAATGGGGACAGGGGGGCACCTGCCCGCGCTGCTTTAAGGCTGAGGGGCCGATGACGCAGCCTCCACTTAGACGGTCACTAAGGCGCACTACTCTCTTAGCTTTCTGCGCGCCAAATCACAGTCCTGTGTACAGAAAGAAAGAACAGAAATACCTCCAGGGTCCCTCCCCACCTGCAAGCGTGAAGAACAGAAGGCCGGGCCTTAGTCCGCGGTGACGGGCGTACCTGGTAATGATTGGTCTGTGCCATGTGCTGAGGACTGGGGTAAAATCCTTCGCTGGACCTTGGACTGGGGTAACCGGGTCTGCTGGGCTGTGAACACATCAACAGAGCATCACAGGAATGAGTACTTTGAAAGTTTCGTCCCATCTCTGTTTTACTGCAAATAACAGAAAAAGGTACTTTTCTCGAAAAGACTTTAGCTGGAAAGAATGATAAAGAGCATCCAGGCACTCCGGTGGGGGAAGCAGTCTTTCCCACAAACGTCCGGGGACAGCAGGGCACCCCCATGTCAAAACACGACGCTGGACCCCTTCCCCACAACACATACACGGATTAACTCAAGATGGAGCAGGGAGCTGAGCGGAAGAGGCGAGGCGGAAAACTCGTGGAGAACGGGCACGTCTCTGCAAGCCTGGGTGGGCGATGGTTTCATAGACAGGACCCCAAAAGCTCAGTCACTGAGAATGAGAAAGGCACGTTGTACCTTTAGTTTGGGTGCAAACTAGAAGTTTCTGTCCTGCAAATGGCACCACCAAGACAGAGAGAGGGCACAGAATGGAGCAAAGTGTGTGCACGTCACGTGTGGGAGTCGTAACCAGAACATACAGAACCTCTTGCAGCTCCCCAGTAACACGACACACAATCTGCACCGACAGTGGGCAAGGACTGGAGCAGACGGGAGGGGCCGATCGATGGCCAACACGACGTGCAGCGGCTCGGGCTCCCAGGAAGAGCCGATCGGGGGGCTTTCGGAGCAGGAGTCTCATCAGGCTCTGCGGCTTCCTGGCTGCGGGACTGTGGACAAGCCAGGCAGCCCCCTGGTTTCTGCTTCTATCAGCCGGGAGCTGAGCTACAGGGACCATGAAGTCACCTCCAGCCTAAAACCCTTCATCCGTTTGTGACCTACGTGAATTAAGGTTCATACTGGAAGAATGGTTTAGTGTGAAATAGAAGTGAAGCCCACAAAATCTTCCCAGCCTGACGGATTCAGCGGAGCGCAGACCCACTACTCTCTCGCCAAACGGAGACCAGGCTAAAAGGAGATGGACTGAGGGGCCAGCAAGCCCAGGGGAGGTAAGAAACGCCTCGGAGCCCCCGTCTCTTCCCACGGATGCACACGGTCCTGGAGAAACACACCCTCGGCTGGAGTGAAGTCCTGAGCAAGTCTGCGTGTCCGAGCGGAGTCTCAGTGCCCAGCTCTGCTCACACTGTCCCTGCCGCCCGTCCTTTGAGTCTTCTGTGGCGATTTCCTGAAATCTCGTGGTTTCTGCCACCCGACGTAGCGCCCTAGGCCCCTGCTCTGGGTGCGTCTCCAACCCCGACGCGGATCGCGGCTGCCTCCACCTGCTCTTGCCCCGCTACCACACCCCTGCGCCATCTCCGAGGCTGGGAGCGCACCCCCACCCCTTGGGCCAACACTTTGGCAGCCCAGATGCGGCTCACCCCAAACTCACCCAAATATGACCATGGATCCCCGGGACTCCTGGAAACAGGCAAGGGTCATCAAGGGGATGTCATAGGCTTTACCCTGTGTTCCAGGGTGGCAATTTCCAAAGTATGTTCCATGAAACCAAGGGAACCATCTTCAGATTTATATATATATTTTTTAAGATTTTATTTATTTATTTGACAGACAGAGATCACAAGGAGGCAGAGAGGCAGGCAGAGAGAGGAGGAAGCAGGTTCCCCGCTGAGCAGGGAGCCCGATGTGGGGCTCGATCCCTGGACCCTGAGATCATGACCTGAGCCGAAGGCAGAGGCTTAATCCACTGAGCCACCCAGGTGCCCCTCGGCATAGTTTCTCACCGAAGCCCCTGGAAGAGCAACTCCTGTGTATACTGACAGACAACGTTACTTTGTTTTGTTTGAGCTTTACCAAGACTTTTTGTGGTTCTAGAAAATCGCATCGCACGAGCCCGTGAAACTCACGCTCCATCGTGGCTGTGGGCTGGGCATCTGTCCTGTGTCCCCACACCCGGCCACCTCAGCAGTCCTGGGCGACGATCCCACCTGAGCGCCTCCTATGGGCGTGCACAGCATCTTAGCTTCTCATGCAGCGAGCAAGCTCCGGGCAGAGCTGGCATTTTGAAATTACGAAGTCATCTTACTTCCTGTGTATTTCACTGGAGGGCCAGCGCGGGACATCACGAAACGCTTCTTACAGAAGTGCAGTGCCGGGTGCTGTCAGGGCAGAGAAACGCTTCTGAGGCAGCCACTCTGAAACCCTTTATTTTCAGGACTCCCTTTGTATTTTCAAAAATGACTGAGGACTCCAAGGGCTTTTGTTTGGCTGGAACAGATCTACCAATATTTACATTATTAAAATGAAAACAGACACTTAAAAATAACAAACTAATTACACGTTAAAAAACAATCAGTGAGCAGAGTGGCACGCGTCCCACGTGTGTATGGAAATTCCTCTAACGTCGGGCCTAGCAGAAGGCCGCCAGCTCTCCCACCGGCTTCCGCACGGCCTGCCGTGCTGTCTCGCTGCGGTGCACAAAGAAAATCCAGCCCCATACAGCCGTGCAGCCGAGGGGGTGGGGGTGTGGGGAGTGGCTTAACAGTTTCTGGGCACAGTTGTGGGCACTGTTCCTGACATTACGCTCCAACTCAGAAAGTGGTGGTATCTCAAAAGTGACTTGCAGTTTGGAATCTGAAAACCGTGTCGTTATGTGTGACGTTTAGATCCGTCACTCCGTCCTGTACCGTGAATGGACCTTCCACGTGCGGTGACCCCGTGACGTCCCGCCGTGGCCATCTGAAAACGCGAGCTGCAGAGGCACGAAGACCTTCGCCACGCCAACCCATGTCAGTAGACGCATGGAAAAGTCACATCTGTCGGTCTCGCTCCAAGCTCATCAGCAAAGTCTCAGAGTGGGGAAGCTGTCAAGGTCATGGTGATGGATATTTTTCAGAATTCTAATCTTTGCTTGAAAACTCAAATTTTATCTCCGGCAACAAGGCATCAGTTGTTCCCGATGACACAGTCTCACTTCTTTCTGGAGAAAACATCTACCAAATGCACGACTCTGCACAACCAGTGTCTGCCCACTCTACTTTGGAGAAAAACTGGTTTTCCTTGAGAAATGTGGCTACTGCTGCAGCTCGGCTGCCTGACAAGGTCTTCCCGGTACTTGCCGCTCCTCCCACATTACACCTGTGGCCGCTTCACCGAGGTCACTCTTCGGCACCCGGGCATCTCTCTCCTGTGTGAGCACGGTGGTGCAGAGCGCCGTGACGACCAGCCCGGCGTGGCCCCGCTGCCCGGGCATGTGCCACGGCGACTGCGGCTTTGTCCACCGTGCCATCTGCAACAGGACTGCAAATGTCAGCAGAACGGACGAGGCCCATGACACGTGGACATTATTATGAAATGGATTTTGCTCTCACGGCCCTCTGAGATGGAATTGGAGACCCAGAGGTCCAAGGAACACATTTCTTTGGAAAGTGCTGAAAAGGATATTTTTAGCCAGAGGCTCTCCACTGATCTGCTGGGGGACGTGCAGGACAGCTCGCAGCAATGAAGTGACCCAGGCTGCGCTGCTCCTGGGCAAACTTCTCTGGAGATTGTCATTGTGGGAAAAAACTGGTATTGAGTACCGAAGCAGAAATCGGTAACATGTTTTTAATAATTAGCATGGTAGTTATAATGCTTTTGCCATTAAGTCTTATAACTAAGATTTTACTTTTTTTTAAAAAAGATTTTATTTATTTGAGAAACAGAGAGTGAGCGTACGAGCGGCGAGAGCGGCAGAGGGAGGAGCAGGGCCCCGCTGAGCGCAGCGTTCCACGTGGGGCTCGGTCCCAGAACCCTGGGATCACAACCTGAGCTGAAGGCAGGCGAAGCTTTTAATTTTGAATCTTGAATGTGGGAGAGAAAAATATTTCACTTTAAAACCTCATTAGGCTACATTATGAGTTTTATTAGTACACAACACTCGTTTACAAAAGCCCGAGATCCTACATGATCTCAAGAAACAGGTGGAATTCGTTGTGCAAAGACAGCACAGCTGGCACTCTACAGCCTGAGGAGGCCCCAGAGCTCCCGCTCCACGGCGTGGAGGAAATGCCAGGACACAATGCCGGGCGAGTGCCCTGGAGACAAGGGAACCGCTTGTTGATGGGTCAAATACAGTGCCCATAAAAGCAGAGTTCACCTCCACGGATCACGAGAACAGGGAAAAACCACATCCAGACCAGATTCTGACTGGCAAGGGAGCCGAGTAATTCGTGTATTCGTTTGTATTCATCAGGCATCTGTATATTTAACTAGTGTAGATGATTTTCTAGCCAGGAAAACTCTTTAATCCGCAGGTCATCGACCTTCACCTCCAAGTGTCAAAGAGCGAGTGTTTCAATCTGCGCAGCCACACTCTGAGTGCCTGCCTGACCCTGCCGCTGGCCAAGACCAGCCAGGGACGAGACACGGAGCATGCAATTCATTCCGACAGAACTGATCACACGAGCAGGCAATGGGTAAGGGTTTGCTGACCCATTTTAAAGGGCAGAACAATGTCTGATTACGGAGAAGAGCCTTACAACAGCCACTTTGAAAACATTCTCAAAACCAGAAAAAAATGTCTTTGTATTCTAGAATAGGAAAAGCCTAACCTCATACTAGTTTCTAAAAATCAGCCAAATGAAAGTTCTTGGACATCCCACAGACTGAGATGCAGGAGAACGCAGAGCACGAGGTTCTTTCATTCTGTGGGCTTGCGCGGGGAGGCTGCAAGGTGTGGTGCTCACAGCAAAGGCACGTGGCCTCTGACCCCAAACTGACTCCCACAAGAGCCCCGACGCACGACCTCCCTCGGCCTTCACCACACCCCTGGGGAGTAGGGATGTTAACACCCTCGCGGCGCAGCGAGGACAGTGAGGCTGGCACCAGGAAGGGGGACTGCCCAGTCATCAGAGGCCCTGTGAAGAGAGCCACGTGGCCTGCAGGCCCAGAAACCAGCTTGGAGATTTCTCCCACCTCCCAGGCTTGGACCACTGTCCCGCGCTCCCAGCGGGCTCCTAGCTCTCTCAGTTTTCCGTGGGTAGCTGAAGGTTTACGGTTGTTCTTTACCCAGGAGACGCAGAGGCGTACTGGTTTTGTCGCCCACTCACTCAAAGGAATACCGGGCGACAGCTGGCGTGGCCCTCCTCTGCGCCTCAGTGTGTCTACGTGTTCAGGAGGCCGGACTAGGGAGCCCTTCACCTCTAAAATTCTGAAGAACTGTGTCTGTCGCCTGCAGTCACCTTAAATGTGTGATCACCTTGACTGTTACACAGTTGGAAATACGGACCAAGAAAATACAAGCTTTCAGGCATCGTTAAAAAAAAACAGGTACAAGATTTAAATAGTTCGTGCTAATAGGTCTCTGAACAGTTTTCAAAAAGAAAATGAAGAACTGTCAGTTTCTTAATATATTTTTAGCCCATCGATTAGGAGGTAAAGCCCATTATCTATTTACATTCCAGAAATGTTCTAAGCTGGGTCATTCATGGCAAGTGAGTGGCTGTGTGAAGACACCGTCTGTCAAGAGCAAAAGGTGCATAAAGAATTCTTAATCTCATGGGAGCGTTCAGAGGCCGGCCACGTCCACATGAGCGACAGGAAGGCGCTGGCCACGTCCCAGAGGCTGAACGTGTGGAGATGGTAGGCAGGCCGGCCTGGGGATGCTGCCAGCAGGTCTGAATTCCCAAGGGCAACGTGCCTGCAGCCCCCAAACCCAGAAGCCAGCCACGGACAGGAGATAGGCAGAGACTGTCTCTCGCCCAAACCCAACCCAAAAGGAATGGGGTTAAGTACAATTTGACTTGCTTTAAAACAGAGCGAAATGTAAAGCATTGAGGGGCTGGTTTTAGTCCATCTGAGGTTCTCGTCCTGACTCGATCCTTGGCAAAGCCCCTGACAAGCAACGAAGGACAATCCTCCTCTGCACCCGGTGTGCTCCCTGAAGTCTGGGGGTCGGGGGTGGGAGCCGAGGGGGAGGCTTTTAAGACCATATCTAATCTAAGGGCTTGAGCCAGAGCCCGGCCTACAGCTGAAATGCAAATTGGGGAGCGAGTGCATGTGAGGATAGCGTGCCCGGCAAAAGAGCAGGGGCAGGGGGCCTGTGAGCACCGTTCCTAGGACCACCTGATGTGTGGCCGTGTCCCCGCACACAGCAGCTGCCCACGCCACCCACTGACAGGAGGAGCAATGCTGGAGCTGGGGCCGGGGCCTTGGCTACCTTGGGCGGCGCTTCGTCGGACCCTCCGGAGTCCCAGGACACCGTGACCTGTCTTCTGGACTCCATCCTCATCCGCTCTTCCTGCTGGACCTTCTCCTCCTCCAGGATTGTGCTAGAGAGAGAACACATGTTTTATGGGGAGCTGCCGGCCAGAGCGAGCACACACCAGACCCCCCGCTTATCCGAGGAGCCCCTACCCGCCAGCTAGAGGATAACAATAGGGAAAGGGAGAGCAGATCGCGTTTAACTGCACTCATGACTCTAGAATAGCTCCGGTCCCCAGGGCAAGCCTGTTCTCAGCACCGCTGTGGGCAAGAAAAGGACAGCGGGGAAGACGAGGAGAGCTCCGGGAAAATCAAAGACAGGCCGGGGGCACGGGCGCGGGTAAGATGCCTGTACACCAAGTTGACTCTGAGCAGAACAGAACCTGCCCTGAGAAGTCCCAGACAGGGCTTTGTCAAGCATGGCCAAGTGATAGGACGGGCTCCTCACATGCACACGGGCCCCCACGTCCTGTGACATCAGCACGCTGGGGGACAAATTTGCAATCCGGCCAATACTCCCGCTCCCCTGCTCACGACCGTCTCCCTAGCTTCCAGCCTGGCCAGTGCTCTGCGTCCCTGGGCTAACGAGCCCTCAGGCAGCCCGGCCGCTGCTACTCACCGCCGCCCACAGCGCACAGGCTACCTACCGCCTCCCCGGCCCGCACTCCTCTAGGCTGCCGTGTCTCCTTAGCCTTGGCCGCCTGCCATCCCGCCAACCCCCCGGAAGGCAGCCAGAGCGGGCCCCCTGCCAGCTCCCCCCTCACCCGGCCATGGGACCTCGGAGGGGGGTGCTCGGCGGGCACCAGGTCCCCGCACCCCAGGTCCTCACCGTGGCCGCAGCTCTCTCCCGCGCCCGCAGCCCCCGCTCGGCCTCGGGGAATGACGCTCATTCAGGGCTTCGAGGCTGCGGGCGGAGCGCCGGCAATAACCACCCAGAATTACTCATGAAAGAGTGAGGTCAGCTGCAGCAGCCCCGCTCTAATCTGGGAATTTGCTCAACTGTTTGAGAAAGACATTCCTGGCTGGCTGGAGGCTGGAGCGGACGGCTTCTCGCACGGGCGCACTCCCGCCATCACCCTGAAGTCAGGGCAGGACGGCAGATCACTTGGTGACTGCTCTGAGTCAGCAAACCCTTACTAGGGACGGACGAAGGGTAGTTCTTTTCTTTTTTTCTTTTAAAGGCAAAGCAGGGTTTTCCTCGGGGATGCCGTGAGTGCTTTGAGAGGAAAGCTTGCAGCCAAAAGATTCTAATTCCTCCTGAAAATAGGATTCTGGTTTTCTTCAAGCGCCAGAGGGGCGAGCCCGGCTAAGAGAGGAACCCGGAACCTTGACAAGTTTGGGAGTCAGGGTCACGCTGCAGCCTGGCAAGGGGTGCGCTAAGCCAGCACTGCTGGGGACCGGGCCCCAGGGCCGGGGATGGGGACTCGAATCACCGTGCAGCAGTCTGCTTGCCTTCTGCTCCCACTGGGCTGAGGGCTGCGACCTGACAGCCCACTCCCTCGCACCCAGAGTTCCTGCAGACACTGGAGCACAGACGTGCACGCCAACCATGACAGGCGATCAGGGAGTGAGGCCACAAGCAGCAGGGTCCACCCGCGGCGTGGCCAGCAAGAGCTGGCCCTAAGCCTACTGCACTGTTACCAGGCAAGGACTGCAGGCCACCTTCTCTGAGACGGACACCGGGTGCAAGAGTCCTGGCCCGGGAGAGGAGCTGCCCTGGGTAGTTTTTCTGCGCGCGCTGCTCTCATTGAGGCCCCTAAATAACAGACCCAGAACCCGAACTTCCAAACCTCTTATCGTTTTAACAACCGAAAAATCCATGAAAATCAAGACAAGAAAAATCAAGGAATTTGTCTTTTTTTTTCTCAGCTTCTTAAATTAACTGAAGAACAGACAAGCTCTGAGAAGGCCAAGTGTAACACGTTCTTTAACGCGATGGGAACCGCATTCTAAGTAGGTCCCACTAAGGCAGCTTATTTCACAAGGGCTGCTCCGCGAAACCGGCCACCCAGATCTTCAGGTCGACTGTTGCCCAGGAAAACCTCCAGAAGGTCCCATGAGGACCCTTGCCACAGGAGACCCTCTCAGGCTTTGTCCGCCCTGGTTCTCCCACCCGCTTTCCCTTTCCCCTGCTCTCCGACCTACAGAATTTACTGCCTGACCCCTTCTGGGCAGCCCTTCTGTCACAGAGCCACACGCGGCACTCCGCTGCCCCGTGGGTCTGACGCTGCCCGCGTTCTGCCACTGGCCGGCTGGGACCAGCTTCCCCGTCGGGTCACAGCGTGTGCACGTGACAGGTACCGCAACCTCTCTCCCTGAGCCTGCCCGCCGCGCCCCTAGCAGAACAGTGGTAATGGGGAGGGGAGTACTTTGACCTCAGTACTTGGTTCTCACACCAAAAATAACACGTCAAAATGCTTCTGAGAAGCCATCGTTTGCTGCTCAGAGCGGTCAGGAGTATAAATAACTCATAAAAGATCTGTTTTGACAATGGGAGGACTATGCCATAGATGGAGGCAGAAGGCACGGAGGGACATTTCTGAACTTGTCTCTTCAGAGAGGCTGGAGAACCCAGAGCAAAAAACTAGAATGTGCAGAGGGTCAAGGAGGTCAAATTTAAACATAGTTTCCCAAACTGCAAATATTTTTAGTAGCAATACATTCCATGTGAACGAGCCGGCCGTCTCATGGGCGCTGGCAATGAGCCGCCGTGCTTTCTCCGGGGATGGCGGTTTCTAGGTCTCAAGCTTACAAGCAGATGACCCGGTGCGAGCTGGGGCTTCTCCGTTACAGACGCGAGAACACGCGGCCACCCTGCCTCTCTTCACCCACCAGGCCCACCTACTGAGACGTGAGTGCGGAAAGCAGGGCTCGATGTAGTGTTTCTTCCCTTTCGCCTCCCTCATGTCACCAGAGTCACCCAAGTCATGGACGGGGCGTACCCGGACGTAGAGCGGGCAGGGGCTGCTGACTGCGCTCTGGGCCTGCCGCCCCTCCAGGGGAACGGGCTCTCATGCCCTCCAGCAGCGAGCATGGACAGGGCTGAGGAAATTTCCGTTCTGGAGCGACAAAGCGTGATTTCACTCCTGAGGTATTTTCATGGAGAGCAAGAAAGGGGTCTAAGAGGTTCCTCGTTCCCAGCACTGAGCTAAGACACAAAAACAAATCTTCAACCCAGACCAGCTTTAGAGTGGAAAAGGGCAGTCGGTCCCGGGCTGCTGACATCGAGCCATCCAAGCTGCGGGCAACAGGTGAGAAGCCGCACGTCCGCCCAATTCGGTGGGGCCGGCCGCCCCGCCTATTCAACGTGCTTGCTCATTCAGAGATGGGAGTAACTCTGTCCACTCTACCCATTGTTCGGGTGGAAAAGAAAGTATGTGGGGAAAAAACAGTAAAGCTCTGGAATAAATGTTACTTAGCAGCGTACTTTTACCTGACCTTTTACCACCAGGAAAGAGAGATTTTCTCCATCTCATTTCTGTAGTGTCTCCCCTGTGAGCGAAGCATTACTGTTCTTTCCTCTGAAGCTACAAACCATTTCTTCTTTTAAATATAAGAAATACTCTTTGCTCATGGAACGTTTCCTTAAAAGATTGGACTTTAATCACCTGAACATCATAAAATCAGCCTCGGCTACTTAGGCGAACGTGGAAAACGTCCAGAGAAAGAGAAGCGAGGAAATGGGATGGAAAAAAGTCCAGAGGGAAAGAGCTCGTTTTGGCAAGTTCACGGGAATACCAGTTTTGAAACATGATCTCTCGTAATTACCCAACATTGCCTCACCACAAAGGAATGGAACTGACCTTTTAACAAAAAGCCCCGCCTGGTATCTTTGCAGAAAACAAGTCTGGAGCCCTGAGATTCAGTTGCGAGAGCATATCTGTGAGAGGCTGACCCGCAGCTAAATGCAAAACCGTACAGTTACAGCGAATGCCTCTGCTCTTTCTCCCTGACAAACCGGCAGAGCCGACCGGACGTCTAGTTTCATGGATGCACTAAGACTGAATTTCTCTTCATGTATCTCAAATTGCCGGAGATAAGGCACTTTTGTTTGGTTGTGGCATTGCCCATCTCAAAAAACTACTTTTCAAAAATGTGAATCCTGCTAAAATCTTTCTTTAAAAATAGTGACTTCTTTCTATTTCTGGCAAGTCTGCATAGCAACTATTTGACGAACCCTCTTGCAGATAGCAACTATGGACAATGACATAAGAAGCAACCCTTCTTATGACTGCACGGGAGAGAAACCCACAGAAGCTGGACCCTGAGCAGGGCTGGCATAAGTCCCATTTTTTGGGCGAGGAGCCCTGGATAAATCCCCATTTTTTAATGGCCATTTGCCAGACAGCAGTCTGCAGTTTTATAAAATCTCCCCAAATCTCTAGCGGAACCTGGAGCCATGCATGCACAGGACAGGCTCCACGCAGCCCAGCTAAGGTGAAGAGAACTGAACTGAGATGTGGGCTGGTGCCCACAGCATGGGGAGAGAATCTGTGCTTTGAGATCAGCCACATTAACTGCCTGCTAAAACAAACAAACCATTCTTCAGAGGAATCTAACTGAATCCAGAGTTTCCACAATCCATCATTCACAAATGTCCAGGATATAATCTAAAATTACCCAATATAAAAATAAACATGAAAACATGATCCATTCTGATGAGGAAAAGACAATGTAAAGGAGGCGATTCCGAAGATGGCTCAGAAGTTAGAACTGGCAGGCAGAGGCTTGAAAGAGCTATTATATTCAAGGACATAAAGCAAAATCTGTTCATAACTAAAGGAAAGATAAGAAATGTTAGCAAAGAAATAGGGACTTTAAGAAAGAGACAAAGGAAAATTCTATAATGAAAAGTACAGTGTCTGAAATAAAATCTCCACAGGATAGAATGACGGGTCGGATGGGGAGGACAAAACACTTAGGGAACCTGAAGGCGAATCATTTGAATTATCCAATCTGAAGGACTTGGAGAAAAAGACTGCGGGGGGGCGGGGAAGAAAAAGAACAGGGTCGCTGGGACCTGAAGGACACCATCAAAAGGCTTAATAGACAAGGAACTGGAATTGCA